TCTTGGAAATTCATCACCACTTATTAATAAGAATGTAATGAATGAATACATAATAAGATGTGTTCTATATATAGAATTTTTTGGCAAGGTATTTGGCAAGGTTTTTTGGCACGGAATTTCAAAATGTACATAGATAACGGGTACTTTTGGGATGGAGTATGTCTCGGAAATCAACGGCTACATTTGGAAGCGGAATTTTCGAAAGTAACAACGGATACTTTTTGGCACGAATGTTGCCAAGGAAGATGTTGGCACGGATGTGCTCCCTGTCATACTATATTTCATCTGAATTTATGATTTTTACCGGTTTTGGAACAAATTTTTTCTCAGATTCTTGTCTCGGTTCCATAACCGACGCAATTAGACACGGATTTGGGATCAGATCCGATTCCTATCCAAACTTTTTTGGTTTTTTCGTCTTTGGGTCGGTCTTTGGCATGGAAGTTCCGTGCCAACCCTGAAATTTCATTTGACGTCAACTTTTCCGCACCAAAACTAGAGGTTTAGCTGTTGCGAGCCAACAACCGAGCCAAATTAGGAACAGAACGTTTCCTTGCCAACAAACTGTGCATATAACGAGTTTTTTGGTAGTGGCCTTCCCTTTCTCATTTTTGTGTAACTTTTTAAAATTATTGTGTATTTGTGTAGTTTATTTATAATATTTTCATTTCTGAAATTGTTAATTATGTGTTGAAGTTTATTAAATATTAATTCAATTTTATAATTGTTAATTTTTGTGCAAGTCTATTGTGAATTCTATTTGTTATTATTCTCGTCTAATACATACTTTAAATTGATTGTTTGCAATAGTCCCCTCTTACGAATTAAACAAAAATACTATTAAATCACAAAGAAAATCTAAGAATGATTATAAATTGACAGTTCAAATTAAATTAGACGATAAAATGAATATTATATTAGGACGAAAGAATGGAAAGAATACTAGTTGAGATCTTTGGAAACACGAAAAATGACCATTTCATATGAGGACATAAAAGTGACCTCATTAAAAAATAAACAACTCGAATACCCCTAAAATTAAAAAAATAAAAACAAATCTTCCACCCGCGACCTTGCATCTCGCTCATCCTCTCACCCGTCATTACTCATAAGAGTTCCATTCACACAAACAGCTAGCTAGCTCATCCACCACCACTCACATCCCGAAACGGCGAGGGCAGCAAGGATTGAACGTGAACAGCAAGGCCCCGGAGACAACGACGATGACTCTGTAATAATCTGACGGCGACTCTGCCCCTCAGCCGGTCGGAATCTACTTCTTCTCCTTTCTTTCTTGTACGCAACTGCCTCCGGCATGTATATGGCAGCGATGACGACGTCCCTCCGCCGATCAAGATGATGCTCGTCGCGGCGGTTGTGACGCATCTGGCCTTCTTCATCATACATACGCCTCTATCTGACCGTGAAGCTCAAACGAAGATTCAAATGCTCCAGCGACAATGGTGAGCCTCCAATGACGATGCCCAATGGTAGCAATCCCAGATTCAACTATGGTGATGTGCAACTCTAACTAGGGTTTGCCAAGGATGATGACAACTTTGCTGCCCCTCTTCGACTATGTCTCTGCTCGCCTCAGCCCACTCTACCGGTCCCTCCCCTGTAATCTTCTTCTTCTTTGTTTATTTTGTCCACAAATAGGCCTAATCAGTGATGAATTTCTAGATCTAGATCTCCCAAATCGTCTTCTTCGCACAACTAGGCAGTGGGGAACTTACGGGGGTAATGGCAGATTGGAAGGTGTCACACCCCAGACCACATCTAAGCGCGTGTACAACCACCGTATGACCAAGTGACGTCACTCGCAACTCAATGTGACTTAATCATACAAGGCATCAATGGACATAGTCCATACCATTACTCAGTAAATAAACATACATAACAACATCACAGTTTAGATTGAATGAATAGAAGAAATATTCAATAATCAATTTTGGGCAACCCATGGCTAATACGGGGGCTCGCAGGGTCAACACAATGTATTCATTACATAAATATCCATGAGCATAATTTGTAATATGAAAACAATAAAGTAAGCATGAACCACGTCTTCCTTCGAATCACTTTACCAACCAAGGTGTGGATAACAAGCTTTAGCTTTAACCTGAAATGGTGGGGGGGGGGGGGGGGGGGGGGGGGCGAAGGGGTCAATACGCAAATATCGAGCGAGTAGCAAGATAAATGTAGAATAAATAACGTTTCAAGTATAAGACCCAAACATAGCGTGATACATACACGTATAATCCTTTCCCCCCAAGTTATGAAATACATATCAGTGTATATATATATATATATATATATATATATATATATACTTGGAAATACCCGACCCGTAGGTCATTGTTTATTTGGGAAAATAATAGTAGTCAACATCCTTGACTTAAACCTAAACCCACCCATATACCTATGAGTGTATAGGACTCCTCCTGGTCTGAATCAATTCATGTTCCAAGTTTTGAGGACGGTTTAGTCCCTAGGTCCTCCACCATTTATACATACGAGTTTTGAGGACAATACCGCCGTCCTTGGGTCCTCCACCGTTTATACTTATGAGTTTTGAGGACAGTAGCATCGTCCTTGGGTTCTCCACCATTTATACATATGAGTTTTGAGAACAATACCGTCGTCCTTGGGTTCTCCACCATTTATATACCGAGTTTTGAGGACAGTACCGTCGTCCCTGGATTCTCCACCATCTTATATTCATTCTTATGATCTACCGCATATCATACATAGATAGGGTCTATATCATAATCATTTATCAAGATTAAACCAAGTCTTAAAGCCTAAGCATAACAATCCATGCAAAACCATGCACGTAAATCAACATCTAGGCAAAACAGCACCAAACCAGCTTCGGTTCAGTCATAACCGGTGCCGGTTCACATTTAATTTATTTAATCGGGTTACCCGTACTCAAACTGGCGCCGGTTAAAGCCTAAACTGGCGCCGGTCCACTTCCTTCTTTGCGGTCAACGGCCCGTTGACCGCCCGAACCGACTCCGATTGATCCGAAACTTAATCCAAACATGTATTAAGTCTTAAACAATCAATATTTGTCATTTTGGCCATCCAAAACATCACATATGTTTTTATATCATTTTCATATCATTTTTCATGCATAATCATTATGGTTCATTTCATACCAGCTTAGTCATTTTGGCTAATCACATGCTTAAACCATTTTAAACATCATTATGAACACATATAGCATTTACTCAGGTAATCTTATACTTAACCCAATAGTTACAAGACATTAGCCATCCACTCACTTTGAAAGAGCTTTAAGAAGTTCTACCCTTCCCGGTTGAACTCCGGCGAAACTCTAGCGAACTTTGATGAACTCCGGTGATAACTTCGGCGACTCTTTCAACTCCGAGAAAGTACTAGGAACACCTTAGCAAGTTCCTAACAAGGTTTTATCATCACAAAACTCATATCAATACAAATAACCTCTAAAAGGTTATTTTCGGCGAACCGGACACTTTGGCTTCTAAGTTCGTTCTTGGACTTAGAACTACCTTCCAATCCCTCATTATACACTTCTAAAAATGTAAAGATATTCTAGGGGTTCATCATACGCTATAGAAGTCATATGGTAGTTAAAGAGTAGAGGAAAAGTTAATATAAGGTCATTACCTTAATCTCCACACTTTTTCTTCCCTTTTTCCTCCTTTAAACTCCCTTCTTTGACTTCCTTGAGCTTGAGTCCGAATTTAGCTATGGATTATGGTGTTTGTAGAGCTCTTATTACTCCTTGGGGTGGTTTGGACGCACAAGAAAATGGGGGAGGGGGTGAGGAGACTCCCTTTGTCTCAAATGGCAAATAAGTGAGGGGGGAGGTCCACCTTGGGTCAACAGCCCACACACACCTCACAACCCATGTTTTGAATCCCCCTTTGTAAACTTTGAGCTCTCAAAAATGTGGTGTGACCCCCACTCATGTGGGAGGTCATCCCAATATGTCCCGAACAGTACAATCAGCCTCAAAAGTTGTATTTCTCGGACTATTTTAATTATATTTTATTATATTGGGCCAAATAAAATATATCACATACTCCAAATCACTATAGGCCTTTAGAATGAATATAAATTCCCCAACTTTAATTTAGAAGTCTCCGAAATTCATTTCAGACTGTTATCTGATAAATTACCATTACCGGTAATTGAGCCTCGTTTGACCAACCGGTCAGTCCTATGCATTTATTATGGCCCAACTAGGATATACACCACCACATACATATTATCTAGACCAAGATGAATATAATATGTGGTCTCGGAAATATCGGGCGACCCCCGTTCTCGATGTGGGCCCCACATGCAATTTACTATTCACGCAAAAGAAATTATAGAAAATTTACAAGCTCGTAAATTCATTAATCATTCAATAAGGTTCAGTACATTATTTACATAAAAGTAAATATATTTGGGGATGGTGTTATAGAAGAGGTAGGGCAGAGGCAACAATATATTGTGCAATGGGGTAAGGCTAGCGAGAAAATTGAATCTGGTTGTGGGCGGCAGCGGCTGGGGAGGGGGCTAGGTTGTGATCACTTGATGAAACGGTACGGCGGCGGTAATTAAACGGCTTTGCGTTGTCAGGTGTCATAGTAGTGGCGGCGCTTCAATTTCTAACATCTTTAGCAAGAGATACTACTCGGTTGAAATAATCAGCTACAGTTTCAGTTTCTAACATCTTTAACAGTTCAAATTATGTTTTAGAGTCTGCATACATACTCTCTTTACCTTGTCTCCACTGGCATGACATTGCTCCAAGATTTTCCAGGCTTCTTGAGAGGTCTTTGCATGGATATCTTATAAAAATGTGCATCATCAACCGACTAATGTAAAAGAAATGGGACTTTGCAATATTTCTTCTTGGCCTTGCGATGTTCTCTTCGCTCTGCTTTGCTAGAATTCTCTCCTAGACTTGGAATCCCTTCATCAATCAGTTTGATTACTTCTTGGAATCCGAAGATGACCTTCATTTGAAATTTTGAATGCATCACTTATCCAAGTTCTTCGCATCAAGAACCGGCAAATTGCCAAGAAATCCACTCGAACTTGACATTTTTTTGGATGAAATGTAAATATATATTAACACCCAAAGAAAATAACAAGTCAATGTGTACAACCAAAAGTGCATATCCCGGTATATGGAATACCACAAATCTTAAGCAAATGCTCAAACAATATCAGAATTTGAACCTAACCATTAGTTAAGAACAAAACAGGTCAAACTACCTCCACAAAATTAGGTATCCCTAATCTAAACTCCAAAGAACTTGCGGAAAGGGGTGGTAAACTTTGGGTCAAAGCAAACCTCGCCTTTCTTTTTAGTCACTCCCAGTAAATCCTCAAAACATTTAGCGGTAAAAGTAAGGCCTTTGTTATCCAGATCATCCGTAAGTCGGAACGAAGTATCAACTCTTATCACACTTGTTTGCACGAACCTAAAAGGTTTAACAATCAACTTGAGCTTATCCTTTATTACCTCACATTTAATGACAATGTCATACTGATGTAGGTCCTTCTCCTCCGTCACTATTCTCTCAATATCTTCCACAATCCCCTCGGCGTCCTCTTCTGTGGTCCCAGCAGGCTTTTGGATTTCTTTCGGGTCTGAAATGGGCTTCCAGACATTGCCGGCAGTCTGCGTAGCAACATTAGAAACCTGGGTTGCGATCTGTCCCAGGGACCCGGTCGGGTTAGAGGCAGGCCCGGTCGGGTTTGCCCCCTGGGCAGTAGCTTCAGGCTGCGCTTTGTCCACAGCCTTCCCCTTCGGTTTGGCTTTGTGGTGCACCATCTCAAGGGAAGCAGCCTCAATGTTTTCCTCACTCTTTTTCCCACCATCCTTCATCACCTCTTTTTCAATCTTTTTCCATCCCAATTGCTTGCAAATAAAGGGGTGGTGACCATATGATTTGCAATGAAAACAAAAATTAGGAAAAGTCTCATACACCACCAATTGTTTAAAGATTTTCCCCGAAGGCAAACGAATCGGAAAGGAGAGGCAAGGCGCCTTGGTAATGTCCACCTCAATGAGAACCCTTGCAAAGTGGTAGTTTGTCAATTCTTGTGTGACCTTGTCCGTGGTGATAGGAACACCCACCTTCGATGTAATCTTGCTCATTGCCTCTTCATTCCACAAATTCAGTGGTAGATTGGGAAACTTAACCCAAATAGGCACCTTTAGGAATGGCTCATCGTCAAAAGTGAAATCATCGGAAAGCATCTTCAAAATAAGAAGTCTTCCATAGAGATTATAGGGACCCTCGGTGAAAACCTTAGTACGGTCTTGCTCGTTTTGAAATTTAAAAATCACCCATCCTTTGTCATGGGATTTCATCGTACAATGTACACCCCAACGTTTCACTAACCCATATATCGCTTTTAGCCCGGGAAACCTTCCTGTAAAACATCCAACAAGGCAATACCCCCACAAAGAGACCATCGAAGGTAATACAAAATTTGAAATATCAACACAATCATCTACCGAAGGTACGTATTTTAATTTTATACCTTTGGAGGGAGCACGGTTATCACGAAGCAATTCTGTCCATTTTTTGGTGCTCTGTCCAACAGGAGGGATAATCTCACCATTTTCAGCTGTCTGGACTTCTGCAGAGCTCAAAGTAGCATTCTGTCCCAGGGGCCCGGTCGGGTGCAAGTCACCCCCGGTCGGGTCAGCACCAGCAGTCTGAGCAGACGCAGGTTTTTGGGACGTTCCAGCCTTGAGGGCAGGGAACTCCTCATCCCTTCCTTCTAGGATACCAAACTTTGCAGACCTGGTATTCCTAGCAATAGAGCCCTCAATACCCCCTGTTTCTTCCTCACCATTTGAAGTCTTTTGCACAAAAACGCCCAGCCGTACGGAAATGTCGCAGGCAGACCTGTGAGCTTCACCAAGAGCAGCGAGCTTCACCAAGAGATGGCGAAACCTCACCCCCTCAGAAGCAAGACACACCCAGTGACCTTAGAGCAAAGATCGAAACGAAAAACAGAGTTCACGGTACCTTCCCAGTTCGCAGGTCGGAAACGCGAGTGAACAGTGAACTGCGACTTCTTCCTTCGAATCAGGCCTTAAAATCACAATCCAGTATCAGACAGAGGTACGAATAGTTACAGTGATGAATCATGAGAAGATATCAACACAAATAACAACATCAAAAACCCCAGAAATCCTTGATTGCACTGTTCTTCATCGCAAAAGAGCTGGGAACGATTTTCCCAGAAATCCTTAACTGCTAGTTTAACAACTTAACTAACATAAGTAAGAGAGAAGATTTTATTGCCACACATTAGCCACACCACACATACTTGTACTATCCTTACTATTTAAGGAATTGTTTATTTAATGTTTATTACATACACTTGCACACAATCTTTATAACATTTATAATAGGGGTCATGTGCCTTTAAAAATTTGGAAGGTATGGTGCATCTCATTGTGTGGACAAATGAAATAGTGACACATGGAAATAGTGAGACATGAAATAGTGTCATTAATGAATTGACTTGGAATGCTATTGGGTGAGAAAGGCAAATGTATGGTACACTCCAAATTTGAAGAGGTACCATAGAAATCTCCTTATAATAGACTTATAAGGAAATTTGGTGCCCCTAGCGAGCCCACCAATTACATAATTTGTAATTTTACACGCTAATTATGCAATAATCAAAATAAGTAACGTTGGAGATACTTTTTTGGCTGAATTGGAGATACTTTTCACATAATTTTTCTTTATTTTATTAAGATAAATATACTATGTATACTTTTTTTTTGCGAAAGTCCGCATATTCAACCAATTCAGCAACTTCAATCAGAATGCATTAGTTTTCGTAGAATCAAGCAATTCAACTAATGTCAGTGTTACCAATCAACCTCTTAATTTCTTTTCTTGTGCAATGAAATTATCTCTAATAGACGAGGGGGTAGATGAATACATGATATGTCATATGTGTGTGTCGTACGTAGTATTATTCAACTCAACCGAATCACACGTTCATCCCATGAATAGAGTAATACTTGATCACATATTTAGTACTCCGTAGTCTTTTACACTGACAAGTTACTATGTACAAACTATTTGAGCATATATAATCATGCCAGTTTAGCTAAATCATAACATAAGATCAGTTACATACCAATTCGGTCATCGGTTTAAGAGTTTTATCGATTTTGATTCTGGTTCGGCTCGATCCCAAACTCAAAATTAATATTCTTGTCCAGACCGCTTTGACATAAACTAAAATATTATACGCCTTTTTACATGCATTATATTAAATTAAATTCCAAAGACAAAGTATGACTTATTTTTAAAAAATAAAATAAAAAATGTGACATGTTCCTTGACTAATTCTCAGTGACTCGTTATCTATTTGTGACTTGTCACTCTCAAAAACAATATAGTGACTTTTGTCCAGTTACTCGTACACAGTGACTGAACATATTTTTTTCCAAAAGCATAACTAGTCACATTTTGTACGTGAAAACTCTGTTAGTAATATACATGTCATTTTTTCAATATTATATGCAAATATAATTATGTAACTAGTTTTGAGATCATAAATATCACGATTAATTGAATTATTTACTCGGGATCAATTCACGACAATGACATTAGGCTAAACGTTACTCTAAATAACATGTTCAAGCTTACCACTCTTAAGATTGTCGTTTAACTTAATACCCAAGAAATCGTCTCGTTGGCTCAGTTACGACTATGTTTGGGTAATAATTTGTGCCAATACACATCAAAAGAACAAAACATTAGGTTTGTGCATAGCAAATTGAAAAAAACTGAAACATAAGTAGGTTTAATATATCCTTATTATCAAATTCAATTCTAGTTAGGGCGTACATGAGTAGAGCTAGTTAGGGTGGGGTGGGGAGGAGTACGTAGTAGAAGCAATGGTGTGCAACTCAATGCATTTGATATAACAATCTAATGGGGTAGGGGTACGTGCCCTTACACTGCTCCGCAAAACACTTGAGGCAATCCTTAGGGGTACATGTCCGGAAGGACACAACTATAGTTCTCATACTCAATGCACCCAACACAACAATTCCCATCATAAGCAGCAACCATGTATCTCATGTTCCCTTCATCTTTCTATCATCTCTTCTTCTTTGTATTACTCCCTCCGTCCCATAGAAATGTTCTTGCTTTCCTTTTCGGACGTTCCATAGAAAGATTCTCATTTCCATTTTAGGAAATAATGAACAATCTTAAATGACGAATGAATCATTAAATATTAAAAATAGTACATTTATAACATCATAATTATCACCACTAACCCCATTATATTATATAACTATTAAAATTATTTCTCAAAATATACTCGAAGTACCTTATTTACTTATTGTCTAAGTAACTTTGCTGTTTTGTCATGGGAACCTTTCAACGGGACGAAGGTAAGACTATATAATATAATTATGTAATTAAGAATCATGTTTGTGCTTATAAAATTGCTAATTTGCAATGTATTCAATGTTTGTGACAATGTTAGTGTATAAATACATATGTACCTAGGATGCATGGACCATTTAGTCCAACATTTCTCATTAATTAAATGGATAACCATTTGTGTATTAATTAATTAATTAATTATTGTGTGAATGAAGATTTTTATATTGTACATAGAGAGAGAGCAATAAAAGAAATGGCATCTCTTTCTTTTATTAAGTTGTAAGACCAAGTTAGAAATCGACGAGATATATATGTACTATAAGGGTGCAGTTCTAATGAGAATTATGCTTATTTTGAGAACGTGAGAATGAACACTTTTAACCCAATTCCATGCACTATACGGCTCATCTATTGCGCTTGTTAGACTATGTTCAAAACATGAAAATATCAAATAACTAATATGGAAGTTCCGTAGATATTTTGTCAACACAAAAAGTTCAAGATTCTCTTTTTTAAACGTTATAATGTATCACATTGAGTTAAAAGTGGTGTTTTCACAATTCTCACTTTAAGCATGATCGATTTGAACTCAACGTCTCTACTATATATGTGCGCACATAAATATGGCACTATATATGCTAGATTACACCAAAACATAAAACACAACATGAGTAATCAACTTTTATTATATTATTGCTTGAGCTTTGAGCATACATATAACAATGTTTACACTAGAGTTCTTCTTCATTTCATACCAAGAACCTTCTAAAATGAAATATGAATTACGTTTCTTCTAGAGTCCAACCTTATGATGAACAAATTACATTAAGCATTTAAAGGAGTAGGAAGATGGGGGGAAGAGAAAACAACACTACCACCGCTTTCACACTCCTTAATGCAATCATCATAACAATGTGGGTTCGGACTTCCCTTACAGTTCACTGCGCAACATAAGATGCAATCTTTTGGGTCACAAATGAGGGACTCCACTTTTGTACTGCTCATACTCAATGCCAACATAACAATTGCTAGAAACGCCAAAACACCACCCTTCATCTTTAATTTCTGCTTAGCTTAGCTTTGTTTTTGTTTTTCCTTTTCTCTCTATGATTACGCTTGATAAAGTAAGGGTGATACCAGTGTGTATTTATAGGATGATATTAGGCCTTCATGCAATGTATCGTTAGCATTTTAGTGAGTAGTGTTTAATATATTGCAGCGAATTTTTCAAAAATGGATATATAGTTATAGCAGAGTATACCGAATGTATGAAGTCAATGTGGACACATTATTTGTTGTTTTGAGTCCATACACTAATTAAGAATGTCATGAATTTCGATATTAGACTTGTGGATTACTAGCTATTTTTCTTTATGAAATATTATTAGTACGTTTTTTAATTGTACTGAAAATTATAATTTAACTTGGTTTAAGGTTTTAAGTCTAATCTGGTTAAATCCGATCTGGTTTGGTTTGGTTGACGCCGGATATATGTATGTGATTTAAATCAGTCGAATTAAATCATCTTAAATTTGGATAGCATGAATGTGGATGCAATGAACATGATCTCACCACGTCTAATAATCATCAGTCCCTATAAAAATGTTACTATATTTAAGATGTTTTCAATTAGATTAAATTTTCATATTTGATCTGGTCGGGTTTTAATTTGATCTGATTCGGTTTGATAGACGATGTCTGTGTTTGTGTATATTCCTCTATGTTGTCTTAGTCTAGATTGATCTAGTCCGACCTTTTTAAGTGTGGTCTGGTTTGATGTAGTCGGTTTAAGTTTGCTCTAGTCTGCGGTTGAAACACATCCGATTAAAAACAATTTTATGGTTTTTGGTCCAAGTTAAAGGGGAGGAGAGGAAAGGGCAAAATGATATTTAGAGATCCCGTCAAATCTTCCATCTATTGCATCTGTAGGACACCCATGCAGGGGGTGCAAATTTTTTATTTTAAACTACAAGCCGAAATCTCTATGTACGCGAGAGGTTTCCTCTTCTCTTTCTCTTTTACTCATAAGGAAGGAGGTCTATATATATATATATATGTGTGTGTGTGTGTGTGTGTGCGTGTGTGTGTGTGTGTGTGTGCGCGCTCAAAACTTTCCAAGGAGTTTAGGTGTGGGAAAAGTTAACTACTTTACTTTCTCCCTTCACTTGAAAAAGTAAACTTCTCCTAACACCCCTTTAAGAGTTAGTTTTGGCCCATTTTAGACTTGAGGTAAAAACTCCAAAACTGAAGATCAACACTACGGTCAAAGCTACCAAAAGTCAACCTTGAGATAAAAAAATCAAAAATCTCAAGGTTAAAGACTATCAATTCTCAAGGTCAAAGCTACACTTCAAGGGTCCAGAAACTTGCAGATAAACTAAATCAACCTCACGTCAACTATTCACATTCAACAATCAACTATTCATCATTGTGTGATCATCATCGTGCTGAATTTTTAAATGATGGGGTCATGATAAATTCTTCTAATTGTATTTTCACTTATCAAATACATTCTTCATAAGATGGAATCTCTTCCTTGAGTGAAGAATGTATAATTAGTAAGGACTTAGAATCTCACTTAGCCAGTAATGATAGTATCCTGAGAAAACACTTACTTGAACAATCTTTCCTCACGGTTCGTTTAAACAATGTACAAAATAAGAACACTAAGCTCAAGTCTAAATTAGAACACTTGGAAGCACGAATGTGTGGCTTAACTAAACAATTGAAAGCTTCTGAACTTGAACACATCACAACAGCAAACAATTTTGAACATCCTCAAACTGAACGTTGTAGATTATATCCTAAGATTAAGGAGTTGGGGGACTTACTTGCTAAGAGAGGTCAAATAGATCAAATCATTTTCTTAAATCAGCCAAAAGACACCAATTTCT